TTTCTACACTTGTGCACAGAGGTAAAAATATTCATCATCATATACCAGTACTCCCAACTAGAAAAGAACTTGGTACAGACCACAGCTTACTTTAGTAAAGTCTACATTTTAGTGCCCATTTCTCATATCTGATCTACACGTGCAATTACTTTTGATTTCTGAGGAGGAATCAGCTCCTTATATTGTTTCTAGATTATGACATTTTGAGAAGAGGAGAAGTATATAGAGACATAAAAGGACCAAGAACTGGTCTGACTGCTGTTCGTATTTCCTACCGAGTACATAGGAGTGGCCTTCAAAGCAGAAAGCACCTTAACAATAACACTAGTAACAACACACCTGAGAAACAACCCATTGAAAGAAGCAATGTGAAATCATGGCTATTCACACACAGTGGTTCCCAAATGGATCAATGGTTTCAGTGGACAGGGTCAGTGATGGCCATTAATCAAATATTTCTTCTTTTCTACAGGATGTCAGGAGTGAACCCTAAGGATGGTAAGAAAAATTTTGATTCAAAGAGGGGCTGAAATGAATTGACAAAATAGGATTAAATAAACCTATCTTTTTTGCTTAGGATTTCTTCTTACTAACACAGATTATTACATTCTCTCTGCAATGACCACATTCTTTATCATTTAGAGACAAAAATATAGTACTTTATCTTATTTTATGTGCACTTTTGAAACCAGTAGCTTGCAAAAATGATTGCATGAACTCCTCATGGGATTCTAAAATACCGAAATCTCCCAAAGATTCCTAAGTTCCTCTGCTGACTCACACAACATACAAGATACATCCAAATCCGACATGTGATGTGCACTCTTAAGATTTACTGGATGTGGACCAGTAGGGAGAGAAGATAAGATGTAAAGGCAGTTCCCCCTTTGATATGTGAAAAAGATCTTGTGAGGAAACAAACAAAAAAACCAAACCCATTGCACAGCTCTTCAGTGTGTTAGCAGTGCACTTTTTTTTCCCCTAGCTGAATTTTTTTTTTCTCCAGCAGCATATCTGAGCAGTGGAAGAGTTCGCGTGAGCGTGGAAGATGATGGAAAACCTGTTTCTACTCGTGAAAGGAGACTCCCATAAAGAAATACTGAATCCCCTCTTGCATATGACACCATATAAAAGCAGTGCGATCTGCACATTGGCTAATGCTGAAAGAAATATCCTTTTACTTTCACCAAATCACAAGAATGTAATCCAAGAATGTGCAACAGCTTGATGTCTTTCCTTAAATTTGCTCTCCCTTTTTACACGATCATTTGGCTCTATGGGTCAGAGATGACAAGCTTATTTTCTGCCAGTAGCTATATAGTTTCCTTAGGAAAGAACCTACATAATAAAGTTTCTGCTTGTGCAAATACGTCCAGTCTGATGTTGTGTTTTTTAAGTCACTACGGCATTGCCATACACATGACCATACACCCTCCCTAACACAAGTGCTTTGTGTAACCCAAAACAAGAGATGCTCAGTGGACAACAACAACAATAACAATAATAACTTTAATAATAATAATAGAAGAGATGATGATGAATGGGCAGATATAAAGTGCCATTAGATTCTCCCAGGAATCTGAAGCTAATATCGGTAAAAACCTGAGAAGATAATGCAAAAAAAATCCTTAAGCTCATTGTTCTGAATTCAAAGTGCATAACATGACTACAATTCATGCACAAATAAAATGCACCTCTGAAAAAAATCAATATTTTTCCATATACATATTTATGTTCCTGCACTTCCTTCAGCAAAAAGGCAAATTCCCTTAGCTCTTGAGGAAGCACTAGGCAAGGTCCAGGTGAAATGAACTGTTCAAGCAGAGTTTGCTGTGACTATTTTGGTTTTCATACATAAAGAAGAAACTCACCAGCCTGTGTCATTACTGTAGCTGTTGTATTCGCAGCACTGCCTTTTCTCAGCAGTAAGTTAGTCTGCAAATCTACACTAGTGTAATTGAAGAGAGATGCTTATAAAGATTTAAGAGGCTAGTAAATCCCAACTTCAAAAGCATACAAAATATTTACATGAATGCTGTATTTTGCTAACATAACCTGTTTGGAAAATTTGTTGTTAGCCTCATTGCTGGGTATTTCAATACACATAATAGTATCTACAAAAATGGTATCATTTCTAGAATTATATATTTTATTTTCCTTCTAACCTCCTTAGAGCCACTATCTTTCTGTCTTCTATTTTCTGACATTTAGAAAAAAAAATATCTACACTGCTGGGACCAGCCCCACAGTTTAGCCATGAACGAGGCTGCAGGATCATTGGTATACCACTGTTAAGAAACATACATACTGCTGGTATTCTCACTGGAAAGAACTGAGAAGAGGTTCTTGGAAACTTCAGCAAAGCAACATCACAATCTACCCGAAAAGAAAAACAGAACAGTACAAATGATATTTTTTCCTGATCCAGAAATCAGGTGACTATTATATGCATCGCTCAGACAGCAAGAGAGAGAAATTCTACAGCCAAAGGCAGCTATCGATTTGTATTTCAGATGGAGGAGCTGACTCAACAAGTGATGGTCGCAGGATATTTACCTGTACAATGTAGGTGTCAAAATATTCTGCCTATACTTAAGCTGCAGCCTATAAGTTCAGTTCAGTTTGCTTTTCATGTTCCAATTCAGTAAAACAAGTACGATTTCCAAATAAAGCAACTCAGGACTATGCATTCCTCAGTTCCGGCTCGCTTGGGCCTGCCTAGCAGCGCCCCAGCTTACAGAGAGCAGTTCGTACGGAACAAAGAGAAGTCACCATCTAATAGTGCCATCTGCTGACAATGTTTTATTTTCTTACTCTGATCATTGCTTTCATTCTGTACTCTGTGGATTAAATAGTTGACTAAAAACAAGTCCCATAGTGCCAGCCTGACAAAGGAGAGCCGTGTGTGGTTTTGAAGTAAGCTTTTTGGTCTTTTCCATGGATCCTCAACATGTGTTGATGAAAACTGTGTGGCATCTTCTCCAGTTTGAAAAGGCTGAGCTTCAGAGGAAACACTTCCTATGTGCCAGATCACATTTGTTTTGTATTACTTGCCAGAAAAATACAATTCTGTTTTTCATGATGGCATGATATTCTGTGAAACTATCAGGGAGTAAGACAGAGGCTATTCTGTCTCACAAACTGTCGGCCTCACTGCCAGCCCAGTTGTGAATCTCACTGTAATTTCACATGAAACAAAGGATTCATTTTATTTCCCATAATATTATGTACATATGTATGTATCTATATTTCAATGTTCTATTTCATAGAACATTACCTTGCTGAACTGCCAGGCTAGAAAATTCAGTCTGAAATTAATCTCTGGTGAGATGAACTGAACAGCAGGATATCATTGGTTCTATCATAATTTGTTTTTTGTTTCAAGTTAGGCCTTCATTTTTTGTCTGGTGCTTCAAGCCCTTCTCACTCTCAAGCAGCAGGGCTGATACCAAACTGTAGCTATTAATAGTAGCTGTTATCAGCATATTTTGTGATAGCCATACCTTGTACTTATTGGAAAATCGTATCTTCGATGATTAATTTCCCCAAACAATTAACAATGTTAGCATTTCTATACAATGACGCGCATGAGGAATAAGAAGGAATATGTACTCAATGGAAACGTAACTGGTAAAAAGAAAATCACCAGGTGCTGAGTAGAGCTGACACAGAGCCACAAGGAGGAGCTCAAAACCTGCCCTATTCAGAAAATGAGGCCTAGGGGGCATCCCAGGAAAGGATGGCGTGCAGCAATTCTTTACTGATGAAAAATTTCAAATGAAACAAACAGAGAAAAAAGATTCCTTCAGGTTTCTTCCAGGATAGTGTAAGTCTGGTTTGTACAGTCTCTCCGACCCCACCATTCAGAACGAGTAACAGTGCTAAGTAAGATCTTGTTAAAGAGCTGAGCCTTCAACCTCTACAAGGAAAAATAGCTGCATCACTTCTGAGAGCCCATGCCCACTCAGCTTTCCGCTTCTTCCCAAATCTTTTCCCTCTATCCCATCCCTCAGTTGCCGCCTAGAACTACTCTGAAAGACAAGGTAAAGCCAGTAACCCCAGCTGTTGCCATGGGAACACTTCACAATTTATCACCTACTTATCAGCATGATGAATAAGAAAATCTTTGCAGAAGCCAGACTTGCCCGTTCTATATCTGATGAAAGAAGTTCGACAGAAGGTTACTGAAACTTTTGAGAAAGACTATTTTTGCATGATTGCCAGGTCAATTTTTAGGGCTGGTAGCTTTACATAATCACTTGAATTTTTCGAGTGTTGTTACAAACTCATATTCTAAATATTTTCTATAGCTAAACATATAAATATCTTAATAGTATTAATACTAGTAACAGCAAGAAATTCCTGCATTACTATCTATTTCAACAAGACTATTGAAATATGACTGCACCTCGAATCATGAAAAAATCACTAGAAAAGATTGTTAAGTACCTAATTCTCATGTGTTTCAACTGGAAATGGGCAGCTGAAGGGAATAGCTGGGCCTTACTCACTTTGGACTGGAGCTTTAGTCTAATGGCAGAGGTTGGATGACTTCATTAAAGCCTCATGTCTCATACAGGCTGAAGCTATTCGGTACGTTAATGACAGCTTGATAGGACATGCTGTGTTTCAGGATTCACGGACTGCTGTAATTCTAAAGCCTGACAATTACAACAGAAAGAAAGTATCTTGAGAGACCCATCCCTGCCGCAGCTCTCCATTTATTCTGTAATGGACAATACTCTTCCCCTCAGAAGCAGGAAAGCATAACGTATTAACTACAGGGTTAGAAAAAAGTCTGAGGCAGAGTTGATCCTGTTCCACACCTACTGATTTTAGCCACACCTCACTATTATAATATGAAAAGAAAAAGAAAAAAAAACAAACAAAACAACCAAAAGGAAAGCAATCCAATACGTGGCCGTGATTCCAAATAACAACAACAGTGTGTGCAGGCTCATAAGTGCTTCAGAATTGACCAAGAGGAAGCACGTTCCATGATGACACAATCTTGTTGCTGTAGTCATTCGTCGAAGGGAAACTCCCACAGGAAAAGGCATAAAGCTGCTTAGGGAAGGCTAAGCAGCTGCTCAGTGCTAGTCAGTCAAACATTGGGTTAGATTCACAACAGAGCTAAACATGAGTACCAGCCAAGGCCCTTTTCCAATTTTTTCTGGGTCCCTCAGGGGTAGTTCAGGGTGTGGTTTGGCCCAGCAAGGAATTTCTTACAGACCTTCAAGTGCAGATGGTGGTGCCAGCAGCATACATACCTCTTTCTCCTCTGCCAGACCCCTCTGGCTGGCTACTGGAGGAGGGGCACCTTGGGGAGGCTTCGGCGAGCACCATGGGGAAAGCATCTTCCTGGGTGGGAATGAGAAACAGACTATGCAAAACCTGAATGACCGTTTGGCTGCCTATCTGGACAAGGTCCGTTCCTTAGAAGCAGCTAACGCTCAGCTGGAAAGCTGCATCCTAGAGTGGCACAAGACAAAGTCTCACGGAAAGAGGCATGACTTCAACCAATACGAGCAAAACGTCACTGACATGCAAAGACAGGTAAGTCAGAGCTGTAAGTGACCGTGTCATTCTGTGCTCTTTTAAGGAATCTGGGTACTCATTTATGCTGATGGCTTTCCTTTAAAGAAAGTTAAATAAAACCTTTTAAATGTTAGAAATACCAATGAAAGTGGTTACAGGACCTGGGCATAATCATTCTTTGTGTTCACAAGGAGGAGAATGGGGTACAAGAAAGAAAGGTTGGAAGGAGACAAGGGGGATTCTGCAAAGACTGGTAGTATAAAGAGATTTGTCTGCTGCCAAGTGTTCGTTTCTGTACATGAAACTGTGGTTTGAGTAACTATGTCTGGCAGAATTTGGTCTTTTTGACTACACATGTATTCAAGAAAATTACAAAGCAGGCAAACTGAAGAGTCTGCCTTCTTTCATGCATGCTGTCTTTAGACATACTGTTGCATTTCATTTCTTTCCTGTGGTAGCAGACAATGAAACTACAGGAGTTTGGGGTCCAATGAGCTTATGTAATCAGATGGAAAAATACTTCACTGTAATTAAGAAAATAGCAATGACAAATTCCTTGTGGATGTTTTCACTATAATTAAAAGGAGAATTTCTGGTTCCTGCCAGTAGTTAATATTAACATCCAACAGTAACTCTTCCAATCTCCCAAACTCACGTGTCTTCAGATTTAAGCATAATATTAATCTGTATTCATAATGAACATACTTAGCACTGTAACCATCTGTGACTAATCTGTGTAATTAACTTTACGTAGCCATATGGGGCAAAAACCAAAGCTATTCCAAATGTGATGTTGTATTTCCCTCCACTTTTTATCATATGGTTACCTGGCATTCTCAAGACCCTGAGAAATTTTTTTTCAAAAGGGCTTGGAAATGGTATTATCCTGCATCTTTGCTGATTGAGACCAGGGACTTAATCAAACTCCCTGCTCGCTGTTAAATGCATTGCCTCCAGGCAGAAGATGAGGCACTCCGACCACAGACAATGTATAAGGAGAGCCAGAATTGTCATCACCTATTTCTGTTTTAAGGATAAAGAAAGGTCATCCATCTCCAGACCTACCACTTGAGCACTTTTTTTTTAACTGATACAGAGATAAAAACTTGTTCATCAAGAATATAAATGTGTTCACATTGATTTGGAATTAATAAATCAGAAAGATTTAGGACGACAATAAGACTAAAACCATCATGCTGATTGGGGTAAAGCCCTCACTTTTGAACAGCTTGTACCCAAAACACTTATTTTGAACACTCACCACTGAAGTAGCTATCACTGGCGACAGGCACCTGTTAGACTAATGCCTGCCTCAGCCAGTATGTACTGAATGTGGTGCTCATACTGGGGAGGAAGGGCTATTAAAGGATTATTTAGAGATGACAATTCAGTGATTTAACCCTGAATATTTACTTTCTCTATAAATTATTGCAATTAGCACCACAACTGCCAGTAAAATGAGTGAAAATATAGCATCTAATTATTAACCATAATTAAATCAATTAACCATGAATTAAAAAGATGAAACTAATTTAGCACCTAAAATGAAATTTAGACAAAATTTAGGATCCTATATCCAATAACCCAGAAAGTCTGTGATGTACTGGCTGTCTAAACTTGGAAACATATAATCATTTGGGTCCTACATTTTGGACCACACTCTTCCCTGGATGCCTGAATTCTGGATGAACATGCCAGATGGAGCAGCAAGTTGCCTTGCTCCAGCCTGACTCCATTCTAACCCAGATACAAAGTAAAATAGCACCAGTTCTTGAGGTAAATGTCTCATTCAAACACCTTTGTTGTGGTTTCACCCAGCAGGCAGCTAACACCACACAGCCGTTCGCTCGCTCCCCCCCCTCAGTGGGATGGGGGAGACAATCGGAAAAAAAAAAAGAAAAATTTGTGGGTTGAGATAAAGACAGTTTAATAGGACAGAAAAGGAAGGGAAAATAATAATAATGATAAAAGAATATACAAAATAAGTGATGCACAATGCAATTGCTGACCACCTGCTGACCAATGCCCAGCCAGTTCCTGAGCAGCGGTCACCACCCCCCCGCCAACTCCCCCCAGTTTATGTACTGAGCATGACATCGTATGGTATGGAATATCCCTTTGGCCAGTTTGGGTCAGCTGTCCTGGCTGTGCCCCCTCCCAGCTTCTCGCTGGCAGGGCACGGGAAGCGGAAAGTCCTTGACTAGTGTAAGCACTGCTCAGCAACAACTGAAACACCCGTGTGTTGTCAACATTATTCTCATCCTAAATCCAAAACACAGCACTGTACCAGCTGCTAAGAAGAAAATTAACTCTATCCCAGCCAAAACCAGGACAATCTTGTACGGCTAAATAAGCAAACTGATTTACAGAGCATTCAAGGGGACAGGAGCAGGGCTGTTGGGAAAAGGACACAAGACATGCTGAGGAAGAAGTCAGTGCAGAAAGCCTTCTTGAAAAAAATCTGTTTTAAGAAGGAATTTAGGTATATTTTGTATATAATGATGTGTGAGTTCTTAAGTTATCTGTAAGTTTGCGGACTTATATTAGTGATGCACCCATATTTATGATGGATGTAGTGAAGAAATCTGTGTAATTATAAACAGATAAATGTCCACATTTGAAATGCACTGCTAACTGGCATAGCAATCAATATCGTACAGCAGTTGGCAAAACACTGTCAACTGTAACTTCTTTGTTGTATTCTTTATTCTTTCAGATTGCACAGAAAGTCATAAACCATTTATATAAATGTATTGCTGTGTTGTATGATTATGAAGTGGCACAAAGTTGAAGAACTCCTATGTTGTTTTCTCATTGCCTTATTACCTCCCATAGTAAAATTTACTGTTCTCTAAGGATGGATTCAAGAATTGCCTCTTCTCTGACAACAAATTCCAGGCAGCAACACATTTAGGGTATTGTTATACTGCCTCAGCTGGCCTTGATCATGTCCCAGGGCAGTATCCAAGGTGTGCTGCTAATTGCTCAAGAACGTACAGTCTGTTAACAGATTAGTTAAAACATTCCACAGGCACCTTCTTTTTTACCATGAGAGGTAAACTTTTGACACTTCAGGATAATTTTGTCATTTCCTTGTTTCTTTGTGATTCATTTAGGTGTGGGAAGTTTTACTTCAAGGTGCTGAGAGCTCTGTAAATGGCTAATGATTTCTGTATAGCCATAATGCACCTTGTTTTGCCATCTAAGTGTTGAGTGAAGGCAGCTGTTGGAACTGCAACCATGCTTCTCTTTCCTCTTTGTTAGAAAAGGACATGACGTCCCACAATTTTTAGTTCCTGCTAATTATGTATGAGTTCCTGCTAGAATTATTTCAAAGATTTTAAATGGAATACTGAGCTTTTCATATTCAGATCTATAGTTCAACGCTATTTCATGTTAACAGGGACTTACAAGTCTTCTCAGTGCATACCGAGCACAGTAAATGAATGATGCGGTGCACTTCCTCCTGCACCTTTTAGGGCAATTTTCAACATCCCAAAGCAAAATCAGAAACATGAATGTTTGAGAAATCCCAAAGCAAAATCAGAAACATGAATGCCTCCATGCTGCTGGATGATTCAGTAGAGTCATAGGTGAATAATCGAATGGACCATGGCAACTAGATGCCAGTGTTATTCTCAAAATGACAGTCCCTGCGACTCCAGACTGAAGCACGTGGTGGACTTGAGTGGTCCTGCTCATGAGTTGCTGCTACTGAGGCAATGAGGCATCATTATGCCTCTGCATCACAACACTGATTCAGCAAGGTGTTTATGTACATGCTTACTTTTTAGCATATGATTAATTTTTAGCATATGATTAATTCCAGCATTTTGCTTGTATTCAGACACAGTTTAATGGTTCTTACTGAAATTTGCCCTAAAGATGACCAACGCTGCTCTTCCAGCAATACTAAACAGAATCAAAATTAGTTCACAAAAAAAGAGGAAGACAGTGATTGTTATTCTGTAATATACCATCAAGTTTGTGTAATATCCATATCCTCTACCTGGCCAGGAATACGACGACTCCTCCTGCTTCGTATCCAGAAAAGTAAGACAAAGAGAAAACTAAGATTACGGACAAAAATTGCAGAAACATCTAAGTGAATCAGGAAACTAAGCTTCTTTTATTCATGTACTCTCCTTAACATGGGACTTCTACTATTTAGATGCTTCCTACAAGTAGCAGGGAGTCTAAAACAGCACAGGTTATGCACCATCGCCATATGGCAACACTGAGTCTCCTGTTGGATTCTCTGTTTTCCAGATTGAAGATGGCAAGATCACCAATGCCAGTATCCTTTTACAAATTGATAACGCTAACATGGCATCTGAAGACTTCAGGCTCAAGTAAGCTCTTCTTTGGTTTCCTGATACAGTTGGAAAGGGGATTAAGCGAAATATTGCTTTTTCTTGATAATCCAATATGAAATTTATTTTACTGAGGTTTTCTGGTGATACTGGATAAATAAAACCAATGTAGAACAGAAAAAAAAACCAAAAAGGATGTAAAAACCACAAATGATAGCTGACCAATCTTGAGTCACCCTGTTTATGATACTTAGTTCAGGTCCTGAAGAGCAGGTTTTACAGCAGACACTTGATACTTGTGACAAAAGGCATTTAAAACTGTCACCTGGGAATACGAATTAACCCTTCTCTGCACTGTGCTTCCCCAGTCCAGCCCAAATCTATTTCCTGTACTAATCACCTCTTCTGTCCAGCTCCGCAGGAAATACCCGTCCTTCAGTATCTTCTGCTTTGGATTCTTATAAGTTTTGCCACAGTAAATGGGCCAGTGTTTCCTTGGCTACCAGTACACTGTTTGATTTTTCAGTACATTGCTGAAAGGTAGTTCTCAGACCAGCTAAGAAGCCAAAATGTTTGGACAGAAAACTTTCAGGCAGAGCTTTCAAAGGAAAGGAATTTACATTTCTGTAAGTTAGACTTCTTGGGAATCATGAAGATTTGTCTTATTTTCAACAGATGATGATCAGCTGTTAAAAAAATCTCTCAGCCTTTGGTAATATTGTAACAAACCTAAAGACTCTGAACACTGTAGGCCTTATCTGGCCTTGCCTTTCTTTCTTTATCATTCAACAGTGTCATAAAAAGGAAACAGTGGAACTAGTTTGAGAGACTGGAATCATAGAATGAGTCTGATGGATTGAATGTAGAAACATCAATAGAGCCCATAAAAAATGAAGTGAAGGGAGAGATTCTGAGGAGCAAAAGTGCTTCATGTGCCCAAGGGAAGATACGGCAGCGTCTTTCTGACTTTGGCTCACTACAGATGGCAAACTGCAAGAGGTTAGAGAGGCATATTAATAACTGACTTCTATGAAGTTTTTCCTGTTTTCTGAAGGACTGAAAAGTTATCATTTTGGAAAAACTACAGAAAGCATTGATTGTTGATACTGTTTTCACATCTTTATTGGCAAATTTTTGAGAATCATACTCCCAAAGCTTTCACAACCTGGTGAATGTTAAAATGCAAAAAGGAAAATGAAAGAAAGAGCAATTGTTTCATACCGTATAGGAGGAGTTGTGAGGAAGAAAGAAAAACGATAATGAAACCCATCTTATTTTTAAGACTATACAAGAATATTCAAAGAACATATTTTAGGAACAGAATTTGTTTCCTTGTTTTTTTGTTCTCTCTAGTTCCCTACATAGAGGACTTAAGCAAGTCTACTTCTCTTTGATACTACTTATACAAGAGGCTAGAAGCAGTCTGCTCTCAACAAGCATGCTTTATCTTCTTTTTCCTTATAAAGGTATGAAGCAGAGAAGTCTCGCAGGCAGGGAGTGCAGCTTGATGTTGAGAACCTGCGTAAGGAGCTCGACGGCCTGACGATTGTTACAACAGATCTGGAAATGGAGATTGAAGGCTTGAGAGAAGAGCACATCCTCAGGAGGAAAGACCATGAGGAGGTAGAAAAAGTTCCACTTGGTAAAATCCTATCACTCAAATCTTCACTACCATGTAATTAACTTTGAGTAAGATCCACAATCTATAAATGGGATTGATGATTCAGAACCTAATCATGTTTCTAAAGAAGCCAATGAGAGTCAGACGAGGCACAAAGTTTGTGTACTACTTTACCAATTAAATTGGGATTTCAGAAAGGATAACAAATTGCTGTATTTTCTCCCACTCTTTTCTAGTCACCTACCCATCTGTCATACATAGCTAATAATAACTTACATATTTGATGATAGACTTGTTCTCAGAAATACTTAGATATAAATACAGAGAAATTTCAAGCAAACAGGAAACGTTACTGGTTGCTGTTGGGTTTTACTGATCACAGACTTTCCCCTCAGCTCTGGATATATCATTTCACAGAATCACAGAAGCACGGAGTGGCTGAGGTTGGAAGGGACCTCTCGAGGTCACCTTGTCCAGCCCTGCTGCTCAAGCAGGGTCACCTAGAGCAGGCTGACCTGAACTAAACAGACCTTGAATTCTTGAGGGATCAAAATTAAAAAGAATGGTTGGTGAAGTCAAGTAAAATTACTTATTCTTGCAAAATCCTAAGCACAATAATTAGGTAATACTTAATAATTGTCAAAAAAACATGCTGCTCTGAATTCTTACAGAGCTGTACCACAGTGGGCTCTGTTATTCCCACATAAATAATACCACTGCTTGACAACATGCTGTTTTCATTTTGCTTGATCTGATATTGTTTTCAGTTATTACCTAACACAGAACCAAACGTCCTACTCAGTATCTGTGGGTTATTAAAAAGGAGAACAGAAACACAAGGGTTACACAGCAGTAGGTGAAGCTATCTTTGGCTGATCCCCTTATAGCCAAGGATACTACTGACCAGCTATAATAAAACAGTTCTTGGAAGCAGGGCAACCAACAGAGACATCAGTATGTCCAGTTGATCTGCATTTTGGAGGCCATGATGTCATGCCCTGAAATGCTACTTTGCCTGGGCGCTTTTGAAAATGGTACCTAGCACATAAGATTGTGCTACACCAAAAGGAATGTTACCATACCTGCTTGACTTGTCCTGTAATTATGTTGTTTACACAGTAATTATATGCTTTAATCCAATTATTCCTTTAACAAATACATAGAACTTTTACATTACTCTCCTGTAAACTTAGTTATAGTTCCATAAATATTAACATACAGGGTAAGAAAGATGAAATTACTGTTAGATTTTCATCAAAGGTTTTGGGTTCCTAATAGATAAATAAATAAAAAATGTCAGTGCTTCTTCATTAAGTATGTATCTTCCAGAAACATTATATGAAAAGATCTTCTCACATGTTTTTTACTGAGTTCTCTAGCACAGTTCTGCCACAGAAGCAGATATAAGTCACAGGTTTAAGTCACGTCATAGTATTATCCATATATAAAACTTCCAGATAGTGTTAACTGAATATATATAACAATTAACCTACCATAATGAAAAAAATATTCTGGGTATTGTGAGAGGATGGAACTGAAGAAGACAAGACAGGAATGAAAACCTTCCACTTTCATAAACAAGTTTGCTTGTTTCCTCTGCTAATATATGAATAGGATATGGAAGCAAATCGCTCATCGCAAGACTTCAAAGTCAATGTAAAAGTAAATGCAGCACCTCCTGAAGACTTAGCCAAGATTCTAGCAGAAATAAGAGAAGATTATGAAGCCATAATTGAAAAGAATCGTCAAAGCCTTGACAGTTGGTACAAAGAACAGGTAACAGCTATTTTCTGCTCATTTCAAAGATCCTTGTTGCTGCACATGAATGGCCAGAATCAGTAAGCTTTTCTCTTGCTTTTGCTCCACAGAGTGCAGCTATGTCTCTGGCAGCAACCCCCAATCCAGAACAGATACAGCGCAATGAGAACGAGATCAAGGATCTCACACGTACTTTACAGTCCCTGGACATCGAGCTGCAGGCACAGATGAGTAAGGTATCTGTTGTAGACATCTCCGGCTGGTCACTGTTACTTCATATATTCTCAGAAATTGTCGTGGACCAATTCTTCATTTAAATCCATAGCCTAGCATAACTTTATTGTAGTTATTAAAGTATCAGTGAAATTGAAATTTGGACCATGCTTGACTTTGCCAGAATATGCAAAATAGATTCAGCAACTATCACCAAGAAGTGAAAAATGTATGTCTCTCCTTAGAATAAAATATGGGGAGAAGAAAAAGAAGAGATGGGATAGCTGACTCCATGATCTAAAAAGAAAAAATGTCGAAGAAGACAGATAGTAATACAAATTTCATTTTTACAACCCCTATTATAATGGATGAAATATTTGAACTGTGAAAAATGTTGGTGGGGAATCTTAAAAATAATACAGGTTAAAAAAATATTCAAAAATCTTACAAAATATATTCAAAAAAACTATTCAAAAATATTACAGGTTAAAGCTCACATACCCATGATTTGGAGACTTTGGAGCAATTCTGGACAGTAAGTGCAGAAACTGACAAAGGAGTCAACAGTTACAGGAGCACAGCTTTGGAGCAGAAAGAATATGGCAGGGATAAATTACTCAGGTTTTGCCTCTCATTACTCATTATGCACACACGACATGGCTTCATGATTCTCCTGTCTTCACATGAATAGTGATGAAAATGCATAAGTGTTTAAATTACCATAGTCTTAATTTTGCAATCTTCTTGCTAGAGACCAAATTTGCTGGCATTTCTGCATTGTATCTACCACATAAATAATAATCATAGTATTGGTATTATCTGCTCTGTCAGAAACACATGCTGGAAGACACCTTGTCTGACACTCGGAATTACTATGCTGCTGCGCTTCAAAACATGCAGCAGATCATCTCCAAATGTGAGGAAGAGCTAAGCCAGGTTCGTCATGACATTAAGCAGCAAAATAACCAATACAAGGTTCTTCTTGGGATCAAAACCCGCCTGGAGAAGGAAATTTCCACTTACCGCCTGCTGCTGGAAGGGAATGTTGATGGGTAAGGCAAAGCCGCCCTGACTGGAATAGATGAGAAGAGAGTTCTCATATTCGGGTTATTTATTTGTTTGTTTGATTTTTTTATGCTTAACCAAAGCTTGTGTGTTCCATACTACATCAAGGGCTGGTATTTTAATGTGATGGATCATAATAAAAAACTTGAGCCACTTTGTATACAGAGAAACTTGCACCCATGTAATTTGGATCACCTAAATTAATATAACTTTTTATTTAAAAAAAAAAATTCTACATTCCCACAGCATGCCTATCTCAGCATAGGAAAAAAATGCCAATTTCAGTAAAATTCATTGTCATTTACAATCTTCAAAACAAGTTCTAGATCAAAAAGAAGCCTGGAGGCAAGTTTAGATCTTTTTGGGTCAGCCATCTGCAGTTACAAATACCAGCACACAAGATCTGCACAGTGTGCCCCTCTGCTGATGGGCTGTTTGGTTTCCCCATCTCTGCCTTGTCTGAAATCTCTGCATTCAGAAATCTTTGGGCCTCTCTATTCTTTATTCTCTCACCTTATATACAGAGTATGTCTGTCATACAAAATCAGAAAAAGGAAGATTAGCAGCATTTATAACTGAAAATCTCAGGGAGGCAGGATGGTATGGCACCAAATACAGGGTTATTTGTCAGAGGCCAAAATGGGATCAACTTCAGCAACTCAGAACATATGAGAAACAATGCAAGGGTCCACAGTAGAAGCAATAATGAATGTACACAGGAACAGCTTCAGGTGAGAGTATCTGTTCCTAAGTCTACCAAAGAGGAAAAGTTCTCGTGCTATAAAAGCATCAATCCTTTTTTTTTTTTATTTTATCTCTTTCCATAGTGGTATTAGGTCTCCTTAGAATCAGTAAGAAGAAAGGGAGGAATAACTTCTGGAAATTAGTATAATCATTATTTTTTCTCTCTTTTATTATCTTTACAGGATAGCAAGAAAATCCGAATCAAAAGCTAAAGGTAAAAGTCCCTTATTTTGTTTTCTATAGTGACTCTTAATTATTGTCATTTCCAATCAAATTTTACTCAGAATAATTTTAACCTTACATGAATGAACTACAAAAGGTTTGCACAGCAGTTAATTCTCGTGTAGGCCATATTTGAGAATAATTTCAGTGATTGACTGGTCTTGTGAAGGGCTGCACTTCAGAGCACATTCTGCTGTGTCTGCCCACTCGTGGACTATCTTCAGACTGACCTCTGTTAGTCAAACTCGTTGTCCAAAGCTCAGACTCAAGACTAAAGCTTTCATGGTATATGAGTAGGCATAGAGACTCCATTTGGTGACTAAAACAGTGTTACAGCTTGAGAGCAAACAGAAAATCTGCATGTCTGGAAACTCATATTCTGGCATGAGCATGACCTACAGACGTTTAGGTTAATCTGCTCCGAAGTTAGATTTGCATTGGCTGGGATGTAGCTGTATTATTTAATTACCCTGACCTGGACAAGACTCAGGGTGACTTTCTGGCAGTACATTTCACAAAGAGCAATAATAAGTATTGACTTAAAGGGAAACATGCAAAGATAAATCAGTTGAGGAGGTAGCTGGTAAATTACTGCAAATGAAGCTTTTCCTGCATCATCTTGTCTCAGCATTGCTTCTTGTCTAATTAACCTTTCTTTTTCTTTCAGAACATGCTGGGCTGACCAATCGAAAGATCAAAGCAATTGTCCATGACAGTGTGAACGGGCAGGTGGTATCCTCCACCATCAACGAGATCCACCAGCAAGCATGAAGTAGAAAGTTCTGCTTTCCTAGCGGGCTAAGCTCTGACAACCCTTCTGTGCAACTACGTGTTGTATGTTGGTTTACCTGTGTGTAAAATAGGGATGCTATAGTGAACCCTCTCCTAAAATGATTTGCAGCCTAATAATGAAAAGTGCCATACAGAGCTAGGTATAGCTGATATTGTTAGCTTAAAGAGCTTTTAGTCATCAAAACGCTGAAGAAAAGCTATTCAATGAAACTGACTGGCTAGCTGGTAACATATGTATTATGCACATCCACTGGGGCATGAATCTCCATCTGTGATTCATTTATTGCTCTGCAAATTAACTATAATTTAAAGTGAATAATCTCAACTTTTCTCCTGGTCTTATGTCTCTCATCATATACCTCACTGCAGCCAATAAATTCTTTTCCATTACTTGTTCTCGTCGTTGGAATTTCTGATTTTGCTTTTTCTTACATATGCAGCAGCCCAAAGTGGCAGTGTTACTGACATAGGTCAAGACTGCAAAAGCCTCATTGTTTCAGGAGGTATAAAACTGGAAGGGCACAAAAAAGAAGAAAAGAGGTGACACAAGTTACAAGTGACATTTACATAAGCAAAACTATTAGACTTCCCTATATACAACTTTTCAATGTCACTGTTTAAAACAGCATTATTAGTAGGATTGTTGTAAAGTACACTTTACTAAAATAGTCACCCTAGAAACATTTCTTTATTCTTCAGCTTTAGAGAAATTTTCTTAAACTGTCTTTACACACTTTCCTTCAAAGATTATAAGTACTTTTCCAGATACTCTCATTCTTTCTCAGTGACCCATTTAATTAAAAAAAACATTTCAGTTATTTGCTTTCGTATTAATGTTCATTGTTTTCGTTGATGGGTTCTGTAGTCAGGATAGACTGGTATATGTAATGCATACTAACGTAAGGGGAGAGGCCCAAGTTCTTTAGCCAAATGTAAGCTTCTTCCCCTTTCTCACGTCAGCCCAATCACCGACTCAGCAGGAGACCCTAACAGCAATAGGAAAATATCCAGTGATAAGCAAAGCTAAAAACTGAGCAAGAAAAAGAGAAATATTATTAGGACTGTTTAGACGAGGAAGACTGTAAAGCAGAACGAAGAGAGACAAAATGGAACATAATGAGTGTCTCTGTATTTGCATTCCAAAGTCAATGTCTGCATATAAAACAGGGTGTTCAGGGCAGTCTCATATTCATGAGCGGAATTGTCATTGTACTCTTTCATACCCACTCATAAGGGACTTTCATAAAGGATTCCTGTTACCTGCTTTACTTTGAAACAAGGCTCACAGAAGAAAGTGAAAATTTCACAGAAAACACAGATTTAAAATAAACAAAATCCATCCCTATGATACAATGTTTTCTTACTGGCATGTTAGGACCAGTTCATGATTCCCCTTTGTGCCCCCCCCCCCCCCTTGTTGCACAAAGAGATCGCAAAAGCATTGAATGGATTACCTAATGGTTTCTTTAAATTGGGTAAAACTTGTACTACAGGATTAGTAACTCTTGGCTAATTAACAATGTCCTTCCTTGTGGCTTACCAGATCCAACAAGCCAGACCTGGTGTTTGTAGCATCTGGACAGAATGTGCCTAGGTTTTCTTGAACAATTTTCTGTGCTACTTAAAGCTATATTCATTTATCAAATTTACAGAGCATAACCGCGTTGCTGTGATACAAATAATTATAAAAACTTCTAAGTAGCCCCTTATTTCTAAATCAAAGGAAGGTATCTATGCTTTGCGCTAGGTTTTGATTGTGCTAAACTACAAGGAAAGAAGAAGGAAAAACGAATAATTGAAGTGCTTTATAAAACATGCCTGTCCTTTTTCACATTCTTGAGCAATGCATTGGCTTTACTCGTGTCCTAGTGTCCTCTCATGAAGAGGTGAGAGGTGCACTCCCTGCATTCCGGTGTTACACTCAGCTATGGTCCAAATGGTACTGGCTAAGATGCAGCAGAATTCCCATGCCACTCCACTGCTCTGACGATTTTAACCTTCTCTTACCACTGTGTCATCGCATTCTGTAATGGTCAGACCAGTACAGCTCACAACACTGACCTCATAATTCACTCCGTTTACTAACATCCTCACGCATCAATGGCTCTAACACATCCATTCAAGTTGCTGTCTTTTAATAAGTGAAGTAAACCAATTCGTCCTTAAACATATAAATATTAGTTACACTACATTCTGTTTTCTAAATGAAAGCAAGTATTCTATGGCAAAAATTGCTTATTTCTGGATAATTTTTCATGTCTTCAGAATACTATGTATAATTGCAGATTTCCTTTTTGTTGAACAGCTTAAGATACTGTGTCACTGGCCATATGTTGCGCTACATCTAGTGGTTATTCATTATTTCTGAATTTGTATTCTGGTAGATAAGCTATGCATTTAGGGTAGGTCTGTACCCTAAATAATAAATAATGACATGAATATTTACCACTTGCATGCACTGTTAACATTATATTCTCACAACACGCTGAGAGTTGAAGTTAGGGAGATAATGAATGGGGGTAGTATTATCATTCCCATTTTATAGCTTGAGAAATTGGAAAAAGAGATGACACAACTCGCTCAAGGCTGCAAAGAAAGTCACTGATACTGATGAAATTAGAATTCATCACTTCACAGCTTCTACCTACCCCAGCTATTAGATAATACAACTTCTGTGAAGAGCCATTCTCTAGTTACAGCAATCCTTTCTGTATCTGATCGCACTGAAGAGATAATTTGATTGATTCATTTCAAGCGTCTACTGCCGGTCAAGACCCTGCACATACTTCGATGATGTTCTTCAATTTACATGTGCCAGTAGCCCTACTCAAATTAGTCCTGTACAGAACACTACGCCTGGGTGTCTTTGGTGATTTTGTAGTATTTGGGAAACTTTAAAAAAGAGATGGTATACGTGCTTCTTTCTCTTAGTCTCAGATCAGTGTCTTGAAGGAAAGGAAATCTTCAGGAGTGTGATACTGTATTGCTTGAAAAATTATTTTATTAATTCATAGTATTAAAACTGATTGAACTCTGCTAGCTGGTATTTATTCTACTTCAGTATTAAATATACACAGAAGTGACTGACCCAGGCCCAAAGAAAGTGCAATTTTAAAAATTTGAAGTATCATAAAAAATAACACACTCAAAGTGAATATATTCTGTTTCCCCTAAATGGAATAGGATAGCAAAAGAAAATCAGTAGGAGGTAATGTCATTTCTAAGTCTAAGTGAATGATGTAACAATACTTTTGCAGACTAACAAGACACAGGAACTCACGGTCTATAAAAGGAGGCTGAAACCATCAGCATTCACAAATCATTTCTTGTAGTTTCACCTGCCATTTAAGGAAGTCCTGCACTAAATAATCCTCCAACGTGATTTATAACAGACTTGAATGCACTCCAGAATGCGTATGAGTCATAGCTCATTTCACTTGTAGAAATGTTAAACTTATTAAGGTATATTACAATACGCAGCTTTGGTAAGTGAATTGTTGATCCTCTGGAAGAAGTCTGCAATGAGGTAATGCAGTAATGGTTTGTGCTATTAATCACACATTCTCTCTGGTGATGTAGCCACACATTGGCAGGTTTCTTTCTTATTTATGAACAAGACATTTCTGTAGAATGCAAAATTTTTGCTTTCTGCCTGCCTTGTAAATACAGATGCAAAATTAATGAAGTCATTTCAGAAAGAGAAGAAAAGAAAATCTAGCATTATAACACTGCTAAAAACATTGTCTGCATGCTATTATTGAAGCAGAGAGAATAGGTAGAAGAGCCGGTAAAACATTTCACAATGTCCACACCCTGACCTATAAAGGTTTCTAAAGTTTTGCTGGGAGATGCCTGTTCCTGTGTATGAATCATTTAGAAAAGGGAAGGATCTATGAACAGGGAAGCAAGGAAAGAATAATGCTTGAGAGGCCTGCAACCCCCTGTCCTCCCCATGTCCTGAATTATACAGCAAAAGCATCTTAATTATTGACTCTACTTCTACATTTGGCTTTTTTACCATGCATTGCTTCCACATAATTCCTTCCTCAGTAAAACTTTTCTTTTCAAGTTGCATTTTTAATTGTATGTCTATACTGAAATGACCTACTTGAGCCACACATCTAGGGGTTGCCATAAAAGAACTGTGTGCAAAAATATCACATTAAACATAAGCACCAATATATTACAGTTTGGACTGCCCTTATGATAGAAGCTCATAGTACTAGACATGACCTAATGGTGAAACAGGTACATGGCTGCTTCTTCTGGACATATTAATTTGCTTTTCGAAAGTCTGAATATGCATCAGAAGCTTAAAGGCATAAAATCATAACATCAGCTGTGGTAAAGACACTTTGAATAACGATCTAGACTTCAGGGTTAAATTCTTTCGCTTTCCAACATCCTAAGGACAAGTCAAAAGAAGTTAATTTGATAGGCTGTTATTAGGCTCTATAGAAAGCAACAAAAATGAGGAATATAATTTGAGAAAAATTTATTTCAATTTAGAGGAATAATTATTTGGAGCAGGCAGGGAAAAGAAGGAGAAAAACAAGCTGAAGTAGCTTACAAACTATACAGTACTTCTTTAGAATAGAAGTTAATAGTTTGCTACTTTTAGAGAGAAAGTACGGGCTTTGGCTCAGATCTACATCCCTGAATCGTGCATACAAGAAATTAAAGCATAAAATGCATAAAACAAATACACTGGAAGCAACTCTTGTCAGAGCAATTTCAGGAAGAAAATACGTAATGTTGCTGCAAGTAGACAGAAATTGCAATTTTAAAGTTACCATGCAGGAAAAAAAACATTTTTTCATTCCTTGTTAGTGAGACAAACTATCGATTTTTGGATGCCGTTTCTGTGCCCAGGCTCTGATTCTTAGTTAATCTCACCACAGAGCAGTCTCAAGCCAGCTACCAAGACACTTTGTGAATGGACATGTTCCACTGGAAATAACATTGCTACTATGCAGAAA